GACCAACTTGACTTTACCTGTAATAGGGAACACAGCTTCCCAAACATAGTTTATTCATTCTTTTATTCAAATTAGACATATTCACTTAGAAATTCATAGATTTCAATACATTTGTATGATTAATATATTTTACTCAAGGATGAGCACAGTACATGTATATCTTTAAAACTGACATGTGACCTGCATAGTGCGTTCATTTTTATACACATACAATATACACATACAATATATCTACCAATACAAAGAGGTCAATTAACATCATCTAATTTATATTATATTACATATTATTTTATAAATAACTACGTTCAAAACAAACACGAAATCAATTTCAAAAATATCATTTATTGTTTCTCTAAAAGCATGAACATTTCAAAATAAATAAAAAACAATTAAAAAAAATATCTGAATATCATTGAAATTAAAAATTATATGTGTGTATCAGTTTCTCTCTAGGTCCAATTTTTTAATATTACTTCATAATTTCTTAGGACTGAATAATAGTTTCTGTATCTAAAAACCTTAAACAAGCATCTTAAGGGTACACGTTTACTGGAATTGATAAAATTCTACATTAGGGTCAACATTTACTTGAACCAATAAAATTCTACATTAGGGTAAATGTTTACTTCAACCGATAAAATTCTACATTAGGGTAAACATTTACTTGAACTGATAAAATTCTATGTTAGGGTAAATGTTTACTTGAACTGATAAAATTCTACATTAGGGTTAACATTTATTTGAACTAATAAAATTCTACATTAGGGTAAACATTTACTTGAAACAATAAAATTCTACATAAGGGTAAACATTTACTTGAACCAATAAAATTCTATGTAAGGGTTGAACTGATAAAACTGTACATTAGGGTAAACGTTTACTTGAACTAATAAAATTCTATATAAGGGTAAACATTCACATGAACCCATAAAATTCAACATTAGGGTAAACATTTACTTGAACTGGTAAAATTCTACATTAGGGTAAACATTTACTTGAAACAATAAATTTCTACATAAGGGTAAACGTTTACCCTAATGTAGAATTTTATCAGTTCAAGTAAACGTTTAAATCTTTTATTGGTCACTGAAATGTTGTTTGTTATACCCAAGAATATATTGTGCCATAAACAGCAAACTTGCAATAACTATGTAATAACTGATCAATTTGATATGTAGGATCTCATAGAGTTGCCATATTAAACAGTATCAAACAAGTTCAAAAAAATTGTTACAAAGCAAGCCTCTGACAAGCTATTCTGGGACGAATTTTATAAAATTTTGCAACACAATTACATGAAATGAAACCAAACATAAAATTCTTTTTATCACACTATGACATTAACTTGTTTTGACAGGTGCTTTTACATACAGATATTATATAATACCTGTGTAATCTAAAAAAATAACTAATAGCTTTATTACATGTACACGGAAAACAAGCGATGTTATGCGATATGTTTATTTAAAAATATTCTAATCACAAAATAAAAATATAGCAATATACAAATGTATCACATATGGAGATTCAATTGGACGGATTCAAAATGGTACAATCTGCTAAAAACATTAAAATAAATAGAATTAAACATTAAATACACATCTTAAAAATAATAAAATTTACAAACATTAAATATATATTATATTGATTTGAAAAAAAAAGAATACAAAATTCCAAAAAAGAAAAAAGCAATGCCTATACCTTACTAATGTAGATAAAGAATATTTTAAGATTTGTAATTTACCTTCCAAACAAAAGCTTTATTTATTACAGCTTAAACTGTTTATAATATGACGTAAGACTTTATTAACCAATTACTTGCGATAAATAATTGTACCCATGTGATGAGTGAAGACCAAGAAAAGCTGACTTTTCTTCTGTGTTGTTCTGCATTGTTAATCAGTCGGTATTTATTTTGAAATTTAATCAAAATGATAAATATTTTTGTCTAGATTGAATGATGTATAAGTTAATTTAAAATATTTAGCAATGTAAGAGTTTAGCTGCCGATGAAAGCACTACAAATTCACCTTTATCAAAACACCTATACATTGATTAATGCAATCAATTTAAACACTTCAAGGCACATTTTCCCTCAGACAAGAATAATTTTTTCCTTCTTTAGGAAGGGCATACATCAGTTTTATAACGTTTAAATAATTATTTGAATGCATGTTAGATGCTTTTCACCTGAAGAAAGTAGTAACAAATGTTGAATTATTTGTCATAAAAGCAGCAAAAATTTAAACAAAGTAGTATTTTGACATCAATACAAAATACTAAATCACTTGCTTTAAGTGTACAAATTGCTAAAAAGACAAAAGAAGGTTCAGGTAATCGGCCAGTGAGAATATTTTGAAACCATAACAGGACATTAAAAAATTAAAAGCTTTGAGAAATAAAAATAAGCATTCCTGGAGCATAATGGGCCTTTAAAGCAGCTAATAATTTCTAGACCATAATGGGCCTTTAAAGCAGCAACTTCAAACAATGCAATTGAAATAATTCATGCTCTTACTAATCCATTACACCTTAAGTTTCTTAGATAGACTTTTGATCTGGACAAACCCATTTATCATTAAAAAAATTTTATTTATTTTTTTTTTCATTTTTTGGGGGGAAAATTTTTAAATGAATACTAACTTAATAGCGAATGGTAGGGACCACGTTTGGATGGCACAGATAAGCTGGCTGATCTTGGTCTGCACTGGATACATGGGTAAAATCTGTGGATAACCCATAAGCTAAAAGGTTAAAGATCAATACAAAAATAATACAAAGCTTATTTCCATAGCCGAGACAAAGAAATCAGATGAATTTGAAAATAATATGTGTGCATCATTTTTTTAAATTTCTCTAGCAAAGAATACTGATATTGAGATACAAGAGTTATGAAGGCAAACAGTACATGTATACTGTTAAAGCAGCATGCCTCAAGATTCATGCTAATTTTCATGAAAATTTTGAAAATTAATTTTAAAGTAAAATATTGTGAAGTGAACAAATAAAGTATTTTACACGTTGCACATGGCACTTACAATCCACTCAAATTGCCAAAAAGAGGCCAAAATATACAAAAATACCTCTTACTGCGTTAGTAACGCAGTAAAATTATAGTGATTGATACTGCAAAATCAGTCATTAATCGCACATAACATGTAAATAATTAATTAGATATTGAATCTTTTTACTTTTCTTAAGATATTAATACATTTGTCTAAAGATTGAATTTCTTGAAATATTTTGGCTCATCTGGAGGCGTGCAGCTTTAACAAAAAATGTAATTAATTATATTTCTAATAAATACAAATGTAAGACAATGAATCATTGTCTATAGTAATTGAACACAATCAATTTGCAACACAACAAATTTCTACTAAAATAAAATAATAATTACTCCCAACTAAATAAAATAATAATTACTCCCAACTAAATAAAATAATAATTACTCCCAAATAAATAAAATAATAATTACTCCCAACTAAATGAAATAATAATCACTCCCCAATACACCAATTACGCATACACACACACATTGCATACATTTTGTATATCTAAAAATAATATTTCTGTAACACTCATAATCATGTTACGTAATTTAAAGAAACAAGAGGGCCATGATGGCCCTGAGGTCGCTCACCTGAATGGAGGCCCCCGGAGCAGGGCCAGTTTAAACCCCAGGGCTTTTATTTGAACAAACTTGGAAGACACCCATTAGAAGATGTTTCATGATGTTTAGTTCTTACTACACACATATAATGAAAAACAATGACCTGCCCCCCCCCCCCCCCCCGGCAGGGCCAATTTTAACCCAAGGGCTTTTATTTGAACAAACTTGGTAGACACCCATAAGAAGATGTTTCATGCTAAATATTTAAGCTCTAGCTCATTGGGTTTTTTAAAAGAAGATTTTTATGTTCTTACTATACACATATAAGGAAAATCAATGACACCGGGGCGGGGCCAATTTTGACCTGAGGGCTTTATCTGAACTTTGTAGACACTCACTAGAAGATGTTTCATGCTTTATATCTAAACTCTAGCTATTTGGGTTTTTTCATAGAAGATTTTTGAAGTTTTTGCTATACACATATAAGGAAAATCAATGACCCCCAGGGCGGGGCCAATTTTGACCCAAGGGCATTTATTTGAACAAACTTTGTAGACACCCATTAGAACATGTTTCATGCTAAATATCTTAGCTCTAGCTCTTTGAGTTCTTTAAAAGAAATTTTTTTTAAGTTCTTACTATATGCATATAGGGAAAATCAATGACCCCCGGGGCGGGGTAATTTTGACCCCAGGGCTTTTATTTGAACAAACTTGGTAGACACTCATTAGAAGATGTTTCATACGAAATATCTTAGCTCTAGCTCATTGGGTTCTTTAAAAGAAGATTTTTTAAGTTTTTAATATATGCATATAGGGTAAATCAATGACCCCCTGGGGCGGGGCCAATTTTGACCCCAGGGCTTTTATTTGAACAAACTTGGTAGACACTCACTAAAAGATGCTTCATGCCATATATCTAAGCTCTAGCTCTTTGGGTTTTTTAAAAGAAGATATTTAAAGTTTTTTCTTTCGGTTGCCATGGCAACCAGAGTTCTGCATGGAATTAAATTCTTTGAACAATTTTTAAAGGTGACCACCAAAGGAACATTCCTGTGAAGTTTGGATGAAATTGGCTTAGTGGTTTATGAGGAGATGTCATTTAAAGTAAAAGTTTACGGACGGACGGACGAAAAGCGATCACAAAAGCTCACCCTGTCACTTTGTGACAGATGAGCTAAAAATCTAAAAGTTTCAGAAAAACGGCTATCGTTTTCAAATATGAAATTCACTTTCAATAGGACAAGAGTTGGGCCAACAAACTTCAAATTTATGTGTTTGAATTCCAAGCCTAATACACAGTTTCCGTGACAGTCTTAGATGATATGTGTACTGGAATTTTTAATCCACTATTGTCGCAAGTGTTTTATGCAGAAAAGTTTATTACTTTGAAGTAATTTGCTGTTAGTAAAATGTCATAATACAGTTACCGTAAGTTTTTCAAACCACTCTCAATCTGACTAAAGTTCAGATCTACTTTTGTTATTTCTTGCTTGCTACTGTATTTGTTTCACCTTCGTTACGATTCAGATTTCCCGTAAAAGCTATTTTTAGCCATACATAAAAACCGTCCATTACAGATAAGCATTAGAGGAAGTCTTAATATAACTCTGTCAGTGGATATAAAACAAACTCTTGACATAGCTCAACATAGACATTGGATTTATAATCCCGTGGACGCCATTCGACCTTCAGCCGAGGCAAAGATTCTATATGACAACTGATCTTAAACATCAAGTCTTAAGGTCATTTGTGTGTAACTTGCTATATAGAAATCATAAGGGCTTAGTAGCCAGTCAATTGTGGAGATTAAAGATGATTATAGGAATGTTAATATTGACCGATCCTCACGATAAAACTTAAGACTTTCTTTTTTAAATAAAAATAGTTCTGGCGGAGCAATTTTTGCCGGGCGGGTGGGGATGAGAATCTGGGAATTTATTTTATATTGCCTAACTAGTATGCAAACATCAGTACTGGCTAGTTGGGAAAGTGGTAACCACATAGGATTAATCACATACGATAAATTCAAGGTTACATAGCTTGATACAAGAGCTTGAATTATTTTCTCAAAGGCACAATTACAGCAAAAGCTTTATTTATAGCAGTACTAGATCACAGCCAAGAAGGTGGCACTTCTTTCACAAAGATATCACTGTAAAAGCAAAAGCATACAGTGAAGGCTTGGAACAGGCTGTCACCTCCTATTGGCAGACTCATCCACCTATTACAATGCAAAAATGAGGTAGACAAAAAGCTACAAAATACACCTGAAAAACAGCATTTCGCTTTTGAATTTATCTATCATTAAACATATAGCAGTTACTTAACAAAAAAACAAACAACAAAAATGGCAATATTTACATCCTTGATAAAGGAGTTACTGGTAAAATAAAATTAATCTCTTAATTTTATACTATATAATTTTGTTTTAAACCATATCCTTGATATACAAAATCACTGATATCTTGGTTTCTACATTGCTTGTCTATGCAATCACTTAAAACTGACATACTGATTTATCTCCTTGTTATTTATGTACAAAAATAGTGACTTTAACTTTGCCATTTGAAGATAAATACAGTATTTACAACCTAATAAATAACGACTGAAATTAAACACAGTTAGGCCTAGCACTGTATAATTTGATGGACTGATGACATTGTAAACTTATACATTATATTTGCAGATACAACTGCTTAAGTAATGAACAGCCAACCCCCAATAATCAGTAACATTTCTAGTGAATGCTTGAGTTAAAATAGGATAGATTAAACATCTAAAGCATGCCCATAGATAGAAATTTAGTGTATTCTTGTATATCAGACAGGATTATCTACCGTTTACACCTGTGCTAGAAAATCCTGTCTTTCTGAAAATAATTGATATGTGACATGCAAGAAAAAGAATCAAACACTGGCCATCAGTATAGACAGGAACATCTAGCTCTAAGGTAACTGTTTAGCGGAAACTCGGCAGAGCCTTGTAACCGCCCTAAACAGTTACCCCCGAGCTAGATATTCCAGTATACCAGCAGACGGTGTAAGATTCTTATAATCTATAATTGTGTGTAATCTATTGAGTACGATCATCATGAACATCTCTTCAACAAGGCTGTCCGTGCAGCTACCAGGATTTTAAAAGCTTCTTCACTACCAGGAGCAACGTTTTTGTCCGGGTGTAATAATACGGCAAGTCTTCTGTAGGCTTTATTGACCTCATCTCTACAATTACATAAATGACATTGTACATAAAACATTGTATCAATTTAATTACATATATGACACTGTACTTAAAACATCATATATAGTTTATGTAAATGTAATTAATTAAATAAACCACAGCCCAGGAGTGTAACAAAGCCATTAAATAATAAAATCTGTATTACACTAGTGTAATAAGAACTTAATGTGATCCCATTTGCATTATATGAAAGCTTGCAATGTTAGCAGTAAAATGATTTCTTAATACGAACATGGAAAAACCAATCTAGATGTATACTTTTATGCATGAATATAATATTATATTTATCAATTACCCAAAATAAAAACTGTTTAAAGTGAAAAAGTAACTTTTTTCATTGACGCGTCTATAGTATAACACTAACATTTAGCACCTCTTAACGCTATGTTTGTATAATGCAAATGATGTAATATCAAAATATATGCACAGCTGTACAATGCCATTTTTACGGAGTTGCAAAAAACGGCATGGGCATATGATACACTCTAATATGTCAATAAAAATGCTCCAGTTGTCAAAGCCATAACCAAGCATTTTGTCAACTCAAACACGAGTATGAGATAACCCGATATTCTTTGAAAAGTCAAGCTTTTAAAACGCAAAAAAAAATTGAACACCATGTTCTACGATGATTTAGTTTTGTTTGTTTGTTTCATTTTACTCCTTTTCCCAACAGTATTTCAGTCATATAGGCGGGTAGTTTCCTAACCATCGCTCCTGGAGAGTTAAACCAGTACTAGACTACCTTCCTCCGTGCTAAACTACCAAAGCATCATCCGGGGATCAAACTCAAGCAGGAGAGGTAACTGGGTTAGAAGTCATCGACTCTAACCCCTCGACCATGGAGGCGGTCACGATGATTTATTAAACAACCATTAATATATGATCATATCAGACAGATGTTCAATTTATTTTTCACATCGGAGGCAAGGAGGCAATTGTTACTACTTACTTTGATGCACCACTGGTTAAGCCAAGTCTTTCATAATCTCCCTTGGCATTTTTTAACCTCTGTATGGCCTCAATCTGATCTTTTGTATAACCAAGCTGTGTCTGGAATGGTGCTTTCTTCCCGCCATTCTCTACAGCCGTCACTACACCCTCAAATAATGCCTACAATATAAACAAATCATATAGAGTAAGTTTGTCCTATTTTTATTGGAACATGAATGTTTAAAAGAAAATAAATATTAATAAAAATATGGAGAACTATTTCAATCATAGTCAACATTACAGTAAAAGCAGCATTCAGCTTTTATTTTCTGTTGGAAAAATAATTATGTTTATTTCAAACTTAGTATTTCAGTGTTTTATCTAGCAAAAGTGCATCATATCACTGTTTAACCTTCTTATAAACAGCTTCCCGCAAGCTATTTATAGTATATCAGTGACGTTCGTGTCCAAAAATAGAAAATCAGGAGATGAATCCTTAGTTTTACTAATTTAGATACATGTATAGAGAGCGGACCAGTAGATTTGAGGTATCAAGGGGTATCCTTATTATTTACGTATTTCATTGTCGGCAATTTTCATTTTCCACCTTAATTCTTTTGACTTGACAATTATATGAAATGATTTATATAAATATCATATTTAACCTTTAGAAAACCTGAAGGCGGCTTTAATAAAGTCGCTGATAAATAAAGTAATGAAGTGTCAATATAACACTCAATGGATAATAAATCCAAATATTGCATTAAACAATATTTGCTGTTTATTTTAGAATGCCTATATTTTGTTATTGTATATAAATACACTCAAGGGAAGTAACTTGAACTGTCTACAAGAATATTCAAGGGAAGTTACTTGTACTGGCATAATTCAAATATCAAGGGAGGTAATTTTGAACTTCGACCTTGTATCTGTCTGGCATTATTACCCAAGATGCAATTCCCTATCAGCTTCCTTTTCCTGCAAACTCTCAAGAGAACAGCAACACATTGTAATCATAATAAAAAGAATCTTAATTCATCTTTGTACTAATAATGCCTGGAAGAGGTAAAGGGAGAAAAAGGAAAATACAAGCTGTAGATTTAAATGAGAATCCTCAAGAACAGGAAAGAGAGATTCCAGTGGAACCAGTATTACTTGGTGGAGATGGTGACCATCAGGAGCCATCAGGTAGGCAAGAAAATCAAATAAATCAATGTTTTCAAAAATCGTCTCTATATGTCGCTAGTAATTAATGGAAAATTACTGATAGGCTTCACTTCCACTGACTGAAATTTTTACATGTTGCGGCCAAAATCATTCCATCCTATTACCAAACTATTGGAATAAATTCAGTAAATGTAAACCTGAGTTTTTGTTGTATTTCAATATATGCTTAGTGTATTGGGTGTTATCTATTTCTTAAAATAAATACAGACTGGAAATTGGAAAGAGGGCAGTCACTGTGTCTTGATGACAGGTTACTAAAATTATCATATCAATGGCCTGCGTTTCTAGAGCTTGTGCTTATATAACTTAGGTTTAACAGCAACTGTTACAGTCAACTTTATTTGTTGCACTTAATACTCCTTTAATGTTTAGGTTACTGATGTTGAAACTGAAACTGTTCTATTTAATTAAACGCCTATTTCTATATACATATTCAATGGCGTTGTACAAAAGGATAATAAAAGTATGTACATATAGATAAAAAAACAACACATATGCATGGCAAATGAACTACAAAAAAAATATGTTAAAGATATCAGCCGTGTAAAATATAAAGTATTAAAAACTTTAAAAAAAGAAAGAATAGTTATAAAAAATAACAATAAAAAATAATTTAAAAGAAAATAAAAATTAATGGTTATTTCAGTAAAATTTCAAACACATTTCCACATCTCTATCAGTTTACAGCCCAATCACAATCTTAAAACAATGCTTAAAAATCTCTAAAATAGTAGGCTTTGACATTTTTCTTGAACATGTCCAAAGTCGAAGACTGTCTTATATACAGAGGCAATTTATTCCAGAGAGTTGGACCAACGGTACTAAAACTTCTGTCGTTAAATGTTTTCCTTTTGTTAAAGGGGACAGCAAAACAATAATCCATATTATCAACAGATCTGAGATTTGGTCTTTTTATGACAGGCTTGTGTAACAGTTCTGTTAGATAAACTGGAGCATTGACCATAAAACAGTTATACATTGTACATAGTATTTTAAAATTGATCCTAGCTTTAATTGGTAACCAATGCAGTTCCAACAAAGAGTCTTTGGAACTATCATATTTTCCGCGTTGCAAAACAAGTTTAGCGCACATATTCTGGATACGCTGTAATTTCTGTAACTCTCTTTCTGAAATGCCAAACAATATAGCGTTGCAATAATCCAAATGTGAGATTACAAGCGACAATACTAGTATTTTCGTGGCGTCCTGAGTCAGATATTTGCGAATGCTCTTTATTCTCAAGTAATTTAACATAGAAGTTCTACACTTGGTCTTAACATGTGTTGAGAATTTTAGGCCCTCGTCTAAGTAGGCACCTAAGTATCTAATGACACTGACATTTTGAATTTTATCACCGGCGATATCAATTTCTTTAATTGAACATTTACCAACTTGGGCTTTACTACCAAACATAATGAATTTTGTCTTAGTGGTGTTCATTTTGAGTTTATTGGCATTCATCCAGTCATTGATGATTACAGCACTGTCTTCAAGTTGCTTTATAGCGTTAAGTTCATTGGTCACTGAAGTTGGTCGAAAGCGTTGACTAGCAATGTGGTCATCAGCAAAGCCGTACACAGATATGGATGGTGGTATCACATCAAATAGGGTTCCCGCATATGTGAGATAGAGCCACGGACCAAGACAGCTCCCCTGAGGTACACTGCATTCCAGCAATCGTGGAGTCGAATCAGTAGAATTAACACTGACGCGACAACTACGAGGTCTCAGGTACGAGTCCACCCAAGCTAACACGGTACCATTGACACCGTACTGACTGTGCAACACGTCGAGTAGAATGTTGTGGTCAACGGTGTCGAAAGCTGCACTTAGATCTATTGCAATTAGAGCTGTGGCCTCTTGCTTCTCCATACCATCTAGAAGATCATTGACAAGTCTGAGTAAAGCAGTCTCACATGAATGATGACGCCTGTATGCTGATTGATTTTTGGGTAACAAATTATGGGTATAGACATGGTTATTTAGTCTGAAGAGCGCAGCCTTTTCTATCAATTTTGAAAGAAACGATAAGTTACTGACAGGCCTGTAAAAAGCCTGTTGCATCAAAACAAAATATAATATGTTTTTAGTTTCAGTTTTGTAAATTTACAATTGCTCTTAATACAAGAGCTGTCTGTAGAATAGCAACGCTCGATTATTCTTAGTGCTTGATAGTAAAAGAGCGTTGATAATGTTAAATTTTCTAAGTTAACAAAAGGGCAAAATTTTTCTTTAAATCCATGTAACAGTTATAGGCCTTGGAGAGAGTTGTTTCAAAGCCAGATGTCAATATAATATGAAAATATCTGAGGTGTCAGGTGGTATGCAAACTTAAATGTTCTAAGATGAAAAATTTACAGGATGGGGTCATGATGGTGAACAAGTGTGCAAAGTTTCAAAGCCATTTGTCAATGGACTTTGAAAATATATGAGGTATTACAAAAACTTAAACTAAAGTGGTTATGCTGACGCCGACATCAACGCTCTCAGGTGACTACAATAACCCTACTTATTCTTATTGAATAGTCGAGCTAAAAAGGCACCATCAATTAAGTGCCATTACTTTTGTAAAACAAAAGCTAACAATTGTACAAAGTAAAATGTTGAAAAAAAATCAATTCATAGAAAAAATCTATTTATTTTAACTTTCTGAATCACTTAAAGTATGTTTTTTGTGTGTAAATTCTTAAACTTCTCTTTAGTTAACAAGAACATACAGGATGAGCCATCCCATATATTGATATATTTATGTATACAAATCGTTACCTGGAACATTTCATTCACACCTTCTCCTGTTTGCGCCGAGGTTTCAAAATAAAGAAAACCTTTACTATCAGCCCAGATTCTAGCCTCATGTTCATCTACCTGTCTCTTCCGGTCACACTGTTAATATTAGACATTACATTTTAACAGTAGTCTTACTGTAATGATTTCCCGCCAAAAATTTCTCTAACATCGGCCAATTTTGTAGCAAATCGGTTATTTCCATAAGGTTATTTTCTTTTAAAAATTTTGGGTATTAGATTATTTACAATCACTCATCCCTTATTGCTATGTACTAAAGTTAAAGGCCCAACTGGACTATAAAAGCCAGCAGATGGCGCTAGGGCAGGTTTCCTATTAATTTTATGCATGCTTCACTTCAGGGACCCTTTTTCAAAGATTAAAGATTAATTACCAAATGCATTAAAACAACACTTGGCATGTTTGTAGGCATAGATATTTTTGATAAAGATTGACCAAAATTATTCAAAATATACCTTTGTTAAGTGTGTTTCTGGAAAAAAATACTGGCTGTCAAATTTGAAATTTGAATTTCCCTGGGAGGAGCCATGTGATCATTACAGGTCATGAACCTTCAGTAGTAAACAAAAGCATGTGGCAGTGTTTATTTCAGGGAGAGAGATTTGTAGCAGACGATGTATATTTCAGGGAGGGAGATTTTCAGCAGACGACACATTGGAATGCTGAATATAACAATAACTTTTACTGACTTGCTTTATCAAATCCAACAAATTTACAATAATCCATTAATCTATGATTTTTTTTTTAATTTTCAAAGTACTGATTTAACTTGTATTTGAATGGTTTAAACTTCATGAAAACAGTTAAAGTAACTTCCAAGTATATTTCATTTACACTATATTTTGTTGTAAATATCTTGTAGTCAAAAATTACATTTCACAAATGTTAATCAAACTAAATGTTGCATATGCATAAAAATTTTACATATTAAACAGTTTAAAAATATTTTAAATTCCTGTCTAGAACATTTTTAGCAGGTTGTTCCTAAAAGAAATGCCCCATGTATAAGGCACATCTTTTGGATTTTGATATAATTGTCTTACTTGATAAAGGACATATACAGCATTCCAGTGAAAAAAAGAAAAACAACTGACTTCAAAAATAATATCTGGACAAGATGACTTGATAATGTTGATCCATTAAACCTCTCCTGTGTAAAATCAGCTGTATTTGTTTACATTCTCTCTGCAGGTTAACACTGCATGCTATTTATAGTTCAGGATTTATAACAGACAGTTTTACATCACTGATTAGTCACACCCACAAATACTCGCTGCCGCGGCAGCGAATGTTGCCCCTTTAAGGTTATAAATTGTTGAGAATTACTGAATACTGAAAATTGTAAACAATAATGTTTTGGAAAAGAACGATTAATTACCATATTGGCCGGTGTTTGAAATGTTTTTACGGGAAAGCATTACAGTAAGACTACCTTAAATGTTATATGACAACAGTCATTTAACACAGCTACATGTATTTACTATTTAAAGTAGTTCACACTTCTGAGAGCTTCAGAGCATTTTAGGTATTATATTAGTCATCCCATAAACAAATATTCAAAAGACAAGGGCTGATTGGGAGGTCCCTATAATGCTAGGAGTTCAGAAGATGTGTACTTTATTTCTCATATTATTTAAGGTCCACTGACAATAAGTTTCAACTTAAATGGTAAACAGGGGCATCCATGGTCAAGTGGTTATGATCATTGACTTCAAACCACTTGCCCCTAACTGCTGTGGGTTCCAATCCCGACAGGGACTTTGGATTCTTTCATGTAGAGAAGCTATCCAGCTAGCTTACAGAACGTTGTTGGTTCTACTCAGGTGCCCGTTCGTGCCTGAAATAAATGCACAGAAGGGCACCTGAGGTCTTCCTCCACCAGTAAAGCTGGAATGTCGCCATATGACCTTAACTGTGTCAATGTGAGGTAAAACCTAATCAAACAAACAAACAAATAATGGGTACAGATCTATATCCTATGAAATAATTTTTTTTAAATTAATCAAATTTAAAAAGTATATCGTTTCCATAATATAATGATCAATTCTCAAAAATGTTGTAACATAGAATGTCTCAGTTATTTAAAACACATGAATATTGTACATAAAAAGTTTCGGAACAAAATATTTATCTGAAACTTTTAGCAGGATATTATCAATTTAGCAATGATTTCTTGCATGTGATTTTCAAACAATTTAGTATCATATTTCTTTTATACAGGCATTGTAAGTATTCTAATTTAAAATTCAAACAATAATTTAGATATATACCTATATACACCTTAAAGCAGCATGCCTCCAGGCTAATTTCATGAAAATTTTGAAAATGTAAAAGTAAAATATTGTAGAGTGAACAAAGAAGATAAATAACACAGTATTGCAAATGACATTTACATGTGTAAAATCCCGAAAAATAACTTTAAAGATGTCAAATATGCAAAAATAGGACTTACATTGTACTGCATTAGTCACACAGTAGAAACATGCACAGTAGAATACTGCAAAATCAGTCATTAATCACACATAATATGTAAATTATTACTTGAATCTTGAATGTTTTTACTTTTCTTAAAATCTTAGTATGTTTTTTGCAAGTTTGATTTTCTTGAACTATTTTGGTTCATTTGAAGGCATGCAGCTTGAAATGTAACAGAATGATTATTTACCTTGTTAGCACATACACATATAACAACATTATCATGTTCGGTCTGATTTCCCATCTCCGTCTGCATCTCTAATAACCAATGATCTAACGACTCAAAACTGCTTCTGTCACTCACATCAAACACAACTATAGCACCTTGGGTATCTTTATAAAACTCATTACGTACCTAGTATCAAAATTAAATCAGAATAATATAAGTTATAATTGTATAATTTATTATAGGTCAGCGATTTTTCTCGTTATATCACAGAGACATATAAAAGGCCTCTTTCCAATCAAAATCTTTAAAAGCATGCAGTTTGACTTACACCAGCTATTTTACTTCCCAAACAAGCTTCTTTAGCCTTATTTTCTTCTCAAAATCAAGAAGATTAGGCCTCTTCCTAATTAAGTTAGAAAAATCACTGATTAGTGATAGGAACTACAGTATTACGTTTACCTGTAGTAAAGTGTTACAAATAGACATGTAAAACAAATATTAGGACCACAACAATTGTACTTAAGCAAAACGAAACATCTCATGAAACAGAGAAGTTTTGGATACAAATTGCTTAGTAAGTTGGTCATAATAAAATTATCACAAACTAATTGTAATGTAATACACATATGGTATCAAATATACAGTAATTAAATGCAACCAATAAGATACAGATAGTATCCAAACAACAGGGTGTTACATATATATTTTATAGACTGCATGTTTTAATTAAATCATGATAATTAAGACCTAAAATTTCACCCAGAAAAATATACCTCTATTACAGATAAACATACCTCATAAAATATAGGATGACCTGCCATATCAAATATGTTTACTTTCACTTCTCTATCCTTGATTGTCACCCTGAAATAATATAATTATGCTTGCTTAAAAGTAAAGTTAGAATTAATGGCATTGAAATAAATCTTTGACTGGATTAACACAAAAGGACAGGAAAGGTAATTCGCTTTTTCAAATCAGACTATCAGAAGTCATGATATGATGTTTTAAAAAAGCCGAAATAATTTTTACTTACTTAGAAACACCATAATCTATTCCTATGGTGGCCAGGTACTTGTGTACAAATCTCTTCTCACAATAACGCTTAATAATACAACTCTGTAAAATAAATACACCAACACATTATTAGTTTTATATTTTATACAATAATTATAACAAGAAAATAATGAGGTATGCCCATTGGTTATGCGGGGAAGGCAAAGGCGGGACCGCAAAGCGAGCCCAGTCTTAGGCTTGCCGGATTATAGACTACACGTGTATATGTAAAAGAAAATCAAATAAAACACCAATTAAAGAATATTACAGAATTCTATACCTATCAATGAAATTTTCCGTGTCAGTTCTAGTCGGGAGCCGCCATTTTAAATGAAACTCAATGATAATGGGCAGTAGGCGGGGTATTCCTATAGCAACGAATTGCAACTTTTCGGATTGTCGAGTATTCCGAGTAATGAACGATTTTTTTAAAGACTTCTCTGTTCATAGGCTTTGCCTAATTTCATATTACCATATACAGGATTTGTTGCAAGACTTGATGAAATACATGTTTACTTAAATTTTATGAGTATACTAGTTGTTTAAAACACAAGTATTACAGGGATTTTAAATGCTTTGGCTTCCAGACTATCTATCTATCTCTGAGTACTGCCAACCCCTCTCGCGAGTGTTATAGGCAGGAAATTGTGCGCGTCGGTGTGTTAGTAAAAGGTGTGAGAGAAAGTAAAAACCTGAAAATGAACATGATCAGGACAGTGAGAGACATTGAAAACTTCTAGTCATTGTTAAAATATTTTTGTTAGTAAGGGTGAAAGAAAGATTTAAAAGTAAAAACACAACAAGTCAACTAATACTGTATCTTAACCACTGCCTGTTTGTATTGATCTAGATCAGGCAGGGTGACAATGTTCCTTGGGAGCTGGTTCCAAAGTGTGATACAGTGGGGGAAGAAGGAGAACTTATGGTAGTCTGATGTAACCTGTATTTTCCTAAGAGAGAGGGGATGCATATGTCTAGTAAGCCTAGATGGAGTTTTAATGTAGGTGGGAAGGCTAATGGCTACTAGGTTATGGTAAATTTTAAAAAACATAATAAGTCTAAAGTCTAGTCTGCGATGCTCGAGAGAACGCCAGCCAAGATCTTTCTGCATGGCTGTAACTGACGACAGAGGGGAGTAATCCTGTTTTACCCAGCGTATCGCTCGTCTTTGGACTATTTCTATTTTTTGGATGTTTGATTGTGTGTAGGGGCTCCAAACAGTTGATGCGTATTCTAACTGGGGTCTTACTAGGGATTTATAAGCTAGTTGTTTTACTTTTTCATTTTTTGTATTGATATTTCGTTTTATGAATCCTAGGGTTTTGTTTGCATTTGATGTAATTCTTGAGATATGTGTGTTGTAGTTCAGGTCTGTGGACAAGTCAAGGCCAAGGTATTTTGAGCTAGGAACTGATGTTAAAGCTTGGCCATGAAGGAAGTACTTGTTGTTGATGACTTTTTTGTTTTTAGTGATGTGAAGGACTTGGCATTTTGAGGGGTTGAATTCCATGTCCCACTCCCTTTCCCATATTTGCATCTTATCAAGATCCTCCTGGAGGGATTGTGAGTCTGAAGATGAGTTTATAGTAATGTAAACCACAGTGTCATCAGCAAAGAGGCGAATTTGGGACTTGGAGACAGAAGATGGAAGTTTATTAATGTAGATCAGGAAGCAGAGTGGGCCGAGGACGGAGCCTTGGGGGACACCAGAGTTTACAGGGACTTCTGTAGAGTGTTCATCTTCCAGTACAATAGTTTGGCTCTGACCTATCAGGAAGGAACGTGTCCAATTGAGAATTTGTGTGGAGACACCGTTTTCTTGAAGGGTAAGGAGAAGTTTACGATGATTTACTTTATCAAAGGCTTTGCTAAAGTCAAGGAGAATAAGATCTGTTTGTTTCCCTGCTGAGATGTTGTTGACAAGGGAGTCTGTTAGTTCAATAAGCTGTGTTTCACATGAGCGTTTCTCCCTAAAGCCATGTTGAAGGTCAAAGAGAATGTTGTGATTACTGAAGTGTGAAGAGAGATGTGAGGCGACAATGTGTTCGAGCGTTTTGCAAAGGATACATGTTAATGAAATCGGTCGATAGTTGGCTGGATCTGTGCTGTCACCTTTTTTGTAAATAGGGCAAACATAGGCTTTGGTCCAGTCAGAGGGAATTGTACCAGAAGATAAAGAATTTTGGAATAGGATTGTGATGATATCTGTGATTTCATTCCTCAGTTCTTTGAGGACAACCGGCCGAACAAGGTCTGGGCCTGCAGCTTTATCTATCTTTAGGTTGGCAAGAAGTTTCAGCACCCCATTTTTGCTGACAGATATATCATCCATTTGAGGGTATTTACAATATTTTTTGGGGTCAAGGTAATAAAGTTTTTGCATGCATGTTTGTTTTAGAGACAGTGGAGAGGCACTGGAAATAGTCTACACATGTATGTTTAAAAGAAATTCAAATTAAATGCAAAAAAAAATATATAATTTTATACCAGTGAAGTTTTCAGTATCAATTCTTGGTGGGTGACATAAGTTTTAATGCACACTCAATGATAAATAGTGGGTTATACAGAGTTGGGTACCGCCAGAAAGAAAATACCATGGTATACCACGGTTTTTTCCTAAAAACCACGGTATACCACGGATTTTCATTGTACGCTATAATTAATTTAAGTTAAGTTAATTTTTATCTCTAAAATAAGTATCAAGGTAGGCTGGTATAGAATTTCAAATATTAAATTTAAGCAGATCAATAAAATACAGATTAATCAAAGCATCATTTAACTTTTTTTCAATCAGGTACTTTCGCATGTTGACAATCATAAATTAATTGGGTCATGGATCAGTTCTTGTTGTTTTTTTATTATTTCATATTGGTCTCTTTCAATATTTAACAACTGTTATATAAATTGCATAGCTAAAATGGAAAAATAAAATGTTTTTCTTGCTTATTGATAAATTTAAATAATAGGTCAAATGCACCTTAGCCGATGACAAATATTTATTTGTCGGTTAATTTATAACAGAGTCCCAGCTTCTATTGTAAATTATTTATTGCAAGAGCTAAGAATTTAATTAATCTGTGTCAGAAACCAAAACAAACATGTACCCCAAAAGCAAATTAAAATTATCACATAGAAAACAGCTGACCATGTTACTGCTTAATTAATATTCATTAGTTGAACTAACATTACTTTTAATCCAGTTTCTATGCCGTTCTATAATTAGTTAATTGCCATGCGCATGCAATAAGAGCGTGACGTAAGGAATACCCCTAGCCTGATTGGTCGCTATTTATATGAATACTTAAAATAGTAATACCCTAATTTTATGCAAGGAATGCCCTCATGAATGATCAATCTTTACGATTAGTTTTCATATCAAATAAGTGATACTGAATGACACATTTAAAACGAAAAATGTAAAAAAATGAAAAAATTGTTTTTATCTGACTTTCCGGCCTGTACATGTAAATTTGCTTTGCATTAAAGTAACATTCATTAAATTTGACATTATTAATTATGATTAAGCTTGATGGTATTTTAGTGTGAGAATTTACATTAATTCATACCTTTCCAACTTCAGCATTACCCATACTTATTATCTTAATCCTCAAGGCACGCTTTCCTCGTGATTTCTCCATTCTTGACAGTTTGTAGAGATCCTTGTTTGGTATGCTAATTTTGAGATTTCATGTAGATCAACTTTGGATCAAATAATAAGATAAATTCTATATTCTAACATGATAAAATGTCAAAAAAGTATTCTATTAACTATTCACACAATTCTAACTATATAACACAATTTAAATCCAATTTTCGTCTTTGAAAATATTTGTTTACATTCGATACCATGCAAAATCTGGTGGGTGGGGTACGATCGTAGATTTTTAAGAGATTAGTCGCATTATTTCTGCTGCCCTAGGAAGTCAAAAGTAATTTGTATACATAAAAATAACTTCACACGTTATAAATCATTTCAAAAAGTGTAAATGTCTGTATACACTTGTCAGTTTTCATGAAAATGCGATGATATTGATTACCGGAAGCCGAACATGTTTATAGCGGATCGGTATAATATATGCACTCTGCTGACATCAACGCTGTGGTCGAAAAAGAAGTTGTGGTTACCTCCCCTAGCGTGACTGAGGGGCTTTTATTTAAAAAAAAAACAAAAAAACAACAACAACAACAACAAACAAAACATTATAATTAGTATTGTGTGCAGGGTCACAGAGTTATATTTATTTGTATATAAGTATCTGACAGAGTTAATAAAAAGTACAGTCCACAAAAGTGCACAAGTCCTATTATATACTGTATATTAAGCAGTTACCTTTTATTTCAATGAATATTTCAATGAATAGCAATTTGACTTTTACAAAAAGATTGATAAATACAGACATCTGTATAATAGTTTTTCATAATAAATTTGAAGTTGTGAATATTGGATTTTGTAAAATATGGCGTAAAATATTAGAACAATAATTTTTCAAAGTCATTAATTTTACTGATTTTGTACTTTAATACTCAATTGTTAGAATAAGTAAATATAAATAATTATAACTTAAATGTTGATAAGTGCATAAATAAACAAAATTAATTGATATTTGATATGATTCTATTCTATTATAATATGGTAATTAAATATGAAACATTGAAATGCTAATTAAACAAAATTCAGTCATTTTTTTTTATTTTTTATTTTTTTTTTTTTAGGTAATGATTTAAAGCATTAACAGCCTTTAATACATTAAAGAATTAATATGTTTATAACTGGCCTAAATTTTGTCAATTTTTATCTAATTTATAATCTCTCTTATACTTTCTCAAACTGAGAATTACCTAAGATTAATATAAAAAGATATATATTATTCTGAAAATAAATATTTATATATAATGGTGGTATGTATGAAATGTTGATTAAGTATTGATATGTGTGAATTAAGTATTGATATGTACCTGTGGGACACTAGTATACTTTAACTGACATGGATATTAGAAAATCTTTCAATTCCATTTTTGAGATGACACCAACCAATTTTCTTTTTTCACATAATTATGCAATATGATTATTTTTATAAGTTTATTAATATAAAACGCAAAAATATTTCAGTTTACTTTTTTTTTTTGTACTACTTGTATTGAAATTTATTTTCACCAACATCCAGAGAATACAGAATTTACATTGCCTTTTATATTTATATTCATATTTATCATCTGCCTTTTGTTACTTACCCTGAGGGACTCTCTTATCAGCAGGGTACCATATTAAAACACCAATACACAGCATGACTTTTGACACTTTAATCTTCTGTAACTGTTTTATTAAAAAAAAAAGAAAAAAAGATCTGCGTTAAAGTGAAAAGTAAGTTGCAAAAGTTTTTATAATCATGTATTTAAACATTTTCTTTAAAATATAGTATCTTCTTAATGCGTTAAAACTGACATGGCAAATTTGTCAAATCTATAATAGAAAAAAATTAAATAAAATAAATAAAAAAAACAACATTTCCCAGTTCAGAAACTAAAAGATGCTGCAAATTTTAATGCAGAATTGCAAGAAATGTGGATAAATATTGATATGAGGTCTTTCTAGAATAGTTAACACTGATATTGATTTTAAACCAGTTTTTATGATAAGATTAGAAAATTCCACTTCAAAGACAATAATGACAATAATATCTAACATGCGTTTATGATTATTTTTTACATTTGATTATACAAAAATTATAGTCATTTATCTATGTCTTACATGTATTTTGGAAGAAAAAACACAAATTTTTAAATAATATTGCATACATATGCATTTTTGTTATTTACCTTGAGGCCCTCTTAGCAGCAGGAGACCAGTATAATGAAAACAGTCGCTCTCAGAAAAATACCAATACACAGCATGACTTGAGATTTTCCTCTTGTATGAAAGCATTCCCTTTATACATTAAATTTTTAATATAGAAATCTTGAATAAAGTTATCAATTTTATATATTTCATGGAAAATTTTTAATTATTTATATCTTTAAAAGTATGCAAGCATTTCATGGTTGAAAAACATAACACCACAGTATATGGATTGTTTTAAAATCAATGAATTAATATTCTCTTTCAATCTTGAACATGAGGAATTGCCTCTTAAGTTATATATTTTTATGCAGAATGGCAAGAAATGTGGATAAATGGATAAATATAGAAAATTCTGCTTTAGAGACAATAATATCTTATATGCATTTATGCCATTATGTTTTTTTGTTGTATTTTTTGTATATTTTTTCTTTATTTTACAAAAATTATGGCCATCTATCTATGTAACTAACTAGCCTGAGTGCCAACGCCTTATGTCTAACATGCATTTTGAGAAAACCAGGGAATTTCAATGCATACTTATAATCTGCAAAATTGACTGTTCTTTGTTATTTACCATGAGGCCCTCTTATCAGCAGGAGAGTGGTATAATGAAAACAGTCCCTCTCAGAAAATACCAATACACAGCATGACTTGAAACTACACATTGTTGAAATAGAAAGTATACATATATATGTGATGTGTGTGTGTGTGTGTGTGTGCGCGCGCGCGCGCGTGCGTGTGTGTGTGTGTGCGTGCGCGTGTGACGAGAAAAAATGAAAAAATACCTTTGAATGTAATACTAGCTTTCTTTATTATTTAATATGTTTTAGTAATATATATACACAACAATTTTGGCTCTCCACGTACCTAAAAACTGGAAGCACAATTATATTATATTTTTCGCTAGTATGTTAATTAACTGTTATTTGAGCCTCATTATACTTTATTCATGTTTATTACTCCATTATGTCATGTTTGTACATGGAATGAGAGAATAAAATGTTTTTTGACTTGACTTGACTTGACTTGTAATTGCTTATCTTTATGTCCATATTTTTAGTTTTAATTACATGTGTGTACGTTCGTTGCCTGCAAACTTCTTTAAAAGTTTTTACTTCTTTTGTAGATAGAAAGGTAATGCATCACCGCAATATTTTTTCACAAAAATATATAGTTATATTAAGAATGGGCAAAAGAAAGATTATTATTTAATTTTGGTATTATGTATTAATGTTCTAATTTAGACTATATAAATATGTCATATAATCACATTTATGTATGCACACATGTATACTGTGACAATGCCGATGAAACAAGTTAAATTATACTATCGTCAAGATTTAAAACGAAAATGTAACGAAATCATTGTTATTATTCTAATAAGATTCTATTAACATTGACATGTACGCAGCTAGAAGACTCAAGATACTAGTTGATATTCTCGTTATTGAGAAAAAAACACCAAAAAAAGTCTTAAAAAATAGATAAAAACAGAATCCCTAAAGAAAGTCCAACACAACAAAATTGAAAATGTTGCAGGCTCGGTTTGATTGAGCCTGTTCATGGACGGTACTGGAAAGTGCAAACTACCGTCCACGCCCCCTAGCACCGGCTTGAGCAGAATTCAACATTTAACACGAAAATGGTGAAATTTTGAATTTAGAAACATCCGCAGATGTGTTCACACGGCAGTTATCATGGAACATTCAATGTGACAAAGTTGTGCCATTCCATGTAAAGCGGCGTATGGTCGCCAAGTAAAAGAACATTTTTGCCCTTAACGACAAAACAATGGGCGGAACTAAATAAAATGGAATTTTGAAAGGGGATCTGAGGTTATGAAACCTGCATATCACAGATAAGACGTCAAAAGACAAATTTAAAAAGCAGGCAACATATCCTAAGGGTGATTATACAGTATTCAAGTAGGAATACTGGAACCACCCAACTTGAAAATGGCCAAAATAAGAGAAACTAAAAGTACCACATAACATGTATACACAACAATAATGTCGTGCTGAACGATCTTCAAGGATCGAAAATATAACATCATTGATTAAATGTACGGGGAGACTTAAGACCTTTTTGGTGTTTTTTTTTCCTCAATAACGAGAATATCAACTTGTATCTAGCTTGGTCAATACTACTGCAATACTATAAAGGGACAAAACTGCAAATCGGATACATAAAAACCCCCAAAATTAATCTGCTTACTTTTGAAATACCACATGGCTTATTGGTTTTTAAAAGCGAACATAATCTGGCACCAAAATATATATCTGAACTACTAGTTTTTTTCTATTAAATGATAGATATGATCTTCGCTCTTCAGCGAATAATGATCTTATTCACTTCAGGCCACAGAGAAATCAAATGTTATTTGCTCTGAAACAACTGAAACAAATTAGAATTTAGAAATACTATCACTTTATTGATGTAAATATAGCTTCCATGTTGCATTTAACGGTGTTGGAGCTATTATAACCGGGTTTCTCATAAGAAATTTTGTACTTTAATTGTACCTATTTATAGGAACATATATAATGCGTTCATTTCTCAACACAAAGAGTACATTGTATATCGCTGCTAATAGCAAATAATAGGGCAATATATTGCTCCAGGATTATCTAATTGTTTTTCTTTATTTACATGTAACCATTTCTTTGTGTTCTTTCCATCTTAGACACTCGATCAAGCCTCAAGCCGTATGTAGAAATATCAGACAGCTATGTACTTCATGTATAATATGCAATTTTAAAACCAATGTCTTTGCACTTTGCCGAAACTTAAGAACCATGTCCCACAGCATCTATGGTGTACCTTCCCCTTGTGTACCTGCTCGTGACGACATGTAGCTGATCGTCTTCTATACGATTTGCCATAACGCCGGCAAATAAACGCAACAGAATTTCCGATTCCTGTAAATATATTGAATTACTTAATATGGTGTGATAAAGTATTTAACGATAATATAAGCACAATATTAAAATCTAAAATATACAATACATGTATATATTCCATAGATATACGTTAACATGCTTTACATTTAAAAGAACACCTTTTTCTGCGTCTGAAATAAATAAAAAAACACACACACAAACACAAAAGAAACTGCCTTTATTTCCGAAATAAGTGTCAAAATAGTATGACATTTTATGTATGTAATTGAAACATATATTTTGCTAGTGAAGTAAGTTCTATATAATGTACATGTTTGTATTTTATTTTTGTATTTTTAATTCTTT